AAACTTCACCCTACATTCTACATACTGATAAATTTATCTTAATTTTTTATATATATATATACACATATATAAATATATTTGTAAACTTTTCTTCAATTAAAAACTTTACTTTACAAATTAATTATTGTCTATTGCTTGTTTTTTTTCTTAATTATAACTGTTCCTTAATGAAAGTTAAGAAAAAAAAAAATATTAATTTTCTTACTGGTGCTTATGAAATGTAACTCTTGTAATTAAACTTATAAACTTTCTAGATTAAATTTAGGATTTAAGTGAAATAATTAGTTAAAATAAATATAGAAAAAAAAAATTATATTTTCTACACTCATTAAAACGGTTTGTCAAACATCATTTAGGAAAAATTACAAACAAAAACTTCGTTAATAACTCATTGGAGTAATATGTTAAAAGATAATTATAGACTAATTATTTTGTATCGTTTCTCTTAGACAATATTTATCATTAAAATAACGTTGTATGTATTATATTTTAAATGTTTTTTAAACAGTATTTCTTATTAATTGTAATTTTTATCAAATTTCCAATTGGTTCATTAACAAATTAAATTAATTTTTAAATAATTAAAAAGTAATTTATTTATTTATTCACGTTTTATAAGATAATTCTATTCTTTAAAAAATTAATGGAACTATTTAAATTTTATTCAAATTATAGTTTTATTAAATTAAATTACTAAAATGTATTAAAAGTGATTAAGTTTTAAAGGTAAAAATAATTTATTAATTTTTTAAAATTATATATTGGGCGATTTTTGTGCCGAATTTACTGTTTATAATAGTAAAAAATTATACGAGTTTTATGTATAATGAAGAAAAAAATATGTCTACTAGTTTATTTTTAAGTATTTATTACATTGAATTATTTTTAGAAATGTATATTATACTTATCGTACCATCTTCTACTGTAAGAGGATTAACTTGAAAGATGTAAACTATCTTTCTTTACAAAGCTAATTATCTTAAAGGGAGCTTCCATCTCGAATATTAAAAAAAAATATCTTCTCTATAAGTATTATTAATACTATGCTATTAAAGGTATTTATATAAGGAAAGGGAGGCGATTAGACAAACTGAGAGATTATCCATCATCCCTGTCTTTGCTTGTCTCAAAAGTTTGTAGTAAGTTCTTCAGACAAGAGATCAAAGGAATCTCCAAGTATTAATGTAGTCATTAGAACTGAAGATTTTTTTGTGAACAATACTTTCTCAATCCTTTCTTATTTGTCGTGTGTGTCTGTTTGATTGATGCTGGCTACATTGACTCACCTGAAAACCTTTGTTTGACGTCAAGGTCCTATGATGGATGAGCGAATCAACTTCTCATGGACACGGGTCAAATTGACGTTTGCACCTCAAAGTCGATTCAGACGGATAAATTCATTCCAAAAGAAATAATTGGATTTAGAAGATACTCTTGAATTATTAAACGAGTTGTAACGATTACTTTTCTTATAAGTGCGCCGATACTTCAGATAATTTCTCATCTATCTCTTTGTCTTTTCTATTCTTTTAATCTTATTTAACACTCCCTTAGTTTTCTTTTTTCATTCTTACTTACTTAATAATTCATCACAAATTTTTTTATAGTCCACTTTGTTAAAGAAAATGTTTATTCTCCTATATTTCTAGCTTTTATTTTTTAGTGAAGTTTGTTTATAAGAAAATCAATTTAACAGCAAAAATTTTCGTGAACTTAACATCGCCAGTGAAAAATAATTTAATACAAGAAAAACAACGTTTGTTTAGTCTTTAAATAAACGAAAATTTATGTTATAAATTAACAAATAAAAATTAAAATAATTTTCTTAAAATTACAACTAAAGTTTATTTTACTTTAATTAATTTATTTCGTTTCTAACAGATAATTAAAACCTTTTTTTTTTAATGGAAAAAATTGATTATCAGAAAGTATAATAAAGATTTAATAATAAAATAAGAGTGCCTAAAGATTTAATAATTTTATATTTACACTAAACAATAAAATGAATTTACATCAACAATATTATTTTACATATCTGTACAACAATTTTTTTTTCTTTTTGTTCGTATAAATTATAAAAACAGCCCCAATTACAAGAATCTGGAATTAAACAAATTCATTGCTTTCTTTTCTTTTCTTTAATAATTATGTACAATGAAAATGTTTACGTTGTCACTAACTGAAATTATTTTCTCTGTTATTTCGAACAACAATCAAGTTACATCTAAACTTTAGGAAGAGAAAGAATTTTCTTGTGGGATATTCAACATACCAGAACATGAGCATACTAAATTGCTCACACAACAAATAACAGACAACATTTTTCTTTCATTTTTTTTTTCTTTCTTTCTTCGTTCGAGTCTCTTCCATAATTCAAGCAAAGGTTGTTCAGTAATTAAAAATTATAATTAAAAACAGGCTGCATCTTATGAACATGTTTCGGATTATTTTCATTAATCCAACATTCGAGTATTGTTAACTATAATTTGAACTTTAGAAGCGAAGTACATTGTTAATACTGTCTACACCTATAACGGTGTATATGATATTCATGTAAATTATTAATAAAAAAAATGACAATTCTTGATATAATTTTTTGTTTTTTTTTTTAATTATTTTACACGTTCGATCGCGTGAAATTTTAAATTTCATTAGTTTTCAAAAAGTATTGACGAAATAAATAAGATGGCTTCTTCTTTCTTCAGTTCGCTCTTTTCTTGCTTTTGAAATACGGAATTGAATCATACCCCATAGACTTGGCAGGATTAGAACAAGATATGTGTTTTTATTTTTATTTTATTTTTTTCCTTCACGATATTCTGACCAAATCTGTCATAGAATCCATATCCTAAGAAGAAAAATCTTCATCGTTTTTTACACAAAGTNAAAGAAATACATTCCCTTAGATAACAGCTTTTTTTTCCTTACTATTTCCATCAGTTATTTATTTTTATCATAAAATATTTATAAGTTTGTATTGACTATTTTAACTTCTTTTTTTTCTGTTCTATATTTTAACTCGTTAAACTAAAAGAATTGATTTTTAAAGTTTCTATTGATAATAAATAATAAATACTTTTGAAAAATATTGTATAATAACATTAAAAATGAAAAAAAAATGATTATTAACCAAGTAATAACTTAATATAAATGTTATGCACTTTTTTATTCTCAAAAAATTAATTTATTTTTATATTTAAATTATAAAAAAATCTCCAAAATATCATTTAATTAATTAATTTATTCAGTTTTTTTTTGTTAAATAAAAGTGTAAACTTCGGTTCCAACTCGAAACAAATTTGTTTTTTCTGTTACATTTTGCTACGTTCCATTAGATAAAGGTGCGGGTTATATACGAATATCTGCAGTTATTTGTTTATTTACACGATTGCGTTACGTTTACATTTTAATTTATTAAGTTTATATCCATGAAAACGAAAAAAAGTTTACGCTTAATATGCGCTTAAACATTAACAAGATATTAAATCCGAAAATAAGGTAAATTCCAATGGTGAGATGGGAAACCAATATTTAATCATACTAATAGAGTCACAGATATACTTAGTGAATCTTAATATATTCACATGGGTGTTCATTAGCAATAATAACCATGCTACTTTTCTCTTCGGAGAATAGGAAACATGATTATTATTACGAAAGAAGAACGAATATATGTATATAAATTACATCCGAGCTATTACCAATATTATTATCAACTAATTCAAATTCTTCAGTCATTTCTGCCAAACTCATCTTCTTTTCCTTTATTTATTTATTTATTTTTTTTAATATTTAATTATAATTTAATTGATAAAATTGTTAATGTTTACGATAGAAAATTAAATAAAATGAAAGATTATATAATATAAAATGAACTAAATACCACAACTATTTCTCAATTTTGTATTTTTAATGCGGAAATTTAATTTTGTAAAAATGGAAAACTTTTGTTCTATTTAAATATAGAAAATGAAACATTCAACAGAGTAAATATACACATTTTTAATTTAAGCATAAAATAAATTGATCAATTTTGTGATTTATAGCTTATCTCCTAATAGAAAAGAAAGTCGAGATAAAGTATTTGATCCTGATGTAATTGCTGCTACCAAAGAAAAAAAAATAATTCTAGTTCAACAATAAAAAAAAAAATTTACTCGAGTTAATCAATTAGCCGAGTTAATGAAGCAAAACAAAGAAGAAAAGCAAAAATTACAATTACAATTAAACAAAAAATGTGTATTCACATTCCCTTAATAACAATAATTATTATTATACATTTAATGTTTTCTGGAATTATTAAAAAAATCTAGAATTGTAGATAGGAAGATGCAGTCTGGAGTAGGAATTTAATCCGCATTTACATAATATCTGCAGTATTAGAGGTAATAACTCTTTGCAATTCCTTGTTAATCTTACCAGATGCAACACCCACCTCTAAAATAGACTTGTCTATAAATTAAAATTAAATTCGATGAATGATTTAGAATTAATGACATCGTAGCGAGAAGGATAGGGAGTGGTCGAACTTAGTTAGTTAGTCAAAGAGCCCAATTACAGAACCACCGACAACAAAAACATTGCCAGCTTCACCTTGCTAATTCCCTGCCAATTATGGAATCTAATCACGGCTTATGGGATTAATGTACGAGTGGCAGAAATCGCGCTAGATTAGAAAAATTCCATTGTACTGGTTCCGAGTACAAAGACAATCTACAGACATTCCCACCTGCCGGTATCATGAATAATTGCTACTAAATGCCCAGTTTACAAAATCCTCTTCTATCTCTAATAACTAACTAAGTAGAGTCTTTAATCCTTTTGGGAAAATTTTCTAAAAATTTGATGTAACAGTTAAAATTTCTAGAATATAAATAAGTGTAGTACTTACCTTATTGCTGAGAGCTCCTGCAGTTAATAACGTCATTAGGGAAATATGTCTAATATACCAAGCTTCGTTCCTATATGACTTGTTACTTAAATCTTCAAAACATGAAATATTTATTTTATTTTTTTCCTTCACGATATTCTGACCAAATCTGTCATAGAATCCATATCCTAAGAAGAAAAATCTTCATCGTTTTTTACACAAAGTCAGAGTATCTGTAAAAGAAATGGTAAAAAATAAAATGAAACTCGATTTATTTATATTTTTATATTCTGTTTTAAAAAACTTCTATAAATTAATGACAATAATATGAGATAATTTATATTAATTACGGGATGATAAATTAGATAAAAATAATTAAAAAACAAAAAAAGTAGATCAAGAATGAAAGTTCTATTCAGTAATCATATATAGTTATAAAATTTATTTTGCTACTCTTAAACGAAATGGAAAGATCTAAAGAGGAACATCAGAATTAATAAAATCTTTCTGACATGGTGAGACTTTATAAGATCATGCCCGCTCGTCCTCAATAACTTTTCAAGCTTTGGACTGATTTCAACAAACTTTGTCAGAGATGTAGAAATATATACGAATTCTATAAAGTTCTACAGCTTTATTAATATATTTTTCTGTTTATTTTTAATTTATTATTTTTTTTTATTAAACTGTAATTATATTATTTAGAAATAATAGGAAAAAAAATATTTATTTTTTAATATGTTTGTATAAGATTTTTCAATAGATAATGGAAGATTTTCTTCCCAGAAAACGAACTTATAGACGAAGTAAAATATTATATAATATAATAATTGTTATAAAAAGTATATATATATATAATCAAAATAAAGTAATAATTATACTATTTATTATAAAATAAACTCCAATAAAAAGAATTTAATGAATTTATATTATTAATTTCTTAATATATCTGGCGATTTTAAATTATAGTTTAGATTTATGAGACTCTTATATAAGTTTATATAATGTAAAATCCAAACACATACTGTATCTATTGTATAAGGTTTAATATACAAGCAAGGACGGATTTTAGACTTGTTATAGCCTAAGCTATCACATACAGAAAGAAATCCTTCCACATAGTAATAAATTAAAAATTTTAAGACACTAAGCTACGACTTGTTTAGTTTAAGCATAAATAGGGCCCTAAATAAAGGAATAATGTATCTAGATTGAATAGCAGTAAGAGTTTATCTTTGTGTGTGTCTGATACCCGAGACCCTAAGCATAATATTAAAATTTTAATTAATAAAAAGAGTGTATAATATTACTTAAAACTAAATATAAAATAATTATAACAATTTTTTTAAAAAAAGAAAAAAAAATTAAATAACTTTTAACTCTAAAAATAATTTCTAATAAAAACTTTTTTTTAAATATTATGCTTTTACGTACGTTTGAATTATTACTTAATTTAATTTTTAATGCGGAAATTTAATTTTGTAAAAATGGAAAACTTTTGTTCTATTTAAATATAGAAAATGAAACATTCAACAGAGTAAATATACACATTTTTAATTTAAGCATAAAATAAATTGATCAATTTTGTGATTTATAGCTTATCTCCTAATAGAAAAGAAAGTCGAGATAAAGTATTTGATCCTGATGTAATTGCTGCTACCAAAGAAAAAAAAATAATTCCAGTTCAACAATAAAAAAAAAATTTACTCGAGTTAATCAATTAGCCGAGTTAATGAAGCAAAACAAAGAAGAAAAGCAAAAATTACAATTACAATTAAACAAAAAATGTGTATTCACATTCCCTTAATAACAATAATTATTATTATACATTTAATGTTTTCTGGAATTATTAAAAAAATCTAGAATTGTAGATAGGAAGATGCAGTCTGGAGTAGGAATTTAATCCGCATTTACATAATATCTGCAGTATTAGAGGTAATAACTCTTTGCAATTCCTTGTTAATCTTACCAGATGCAACACCCACCTCTAAAATAGACTTGTCTATAAATTAAAATTAAATTCGATGAATGATTTAGAATTAATGACATCGTAGCGAGAAGGTAGGGAGTGGTCGAACTTAGTTAGTTAGTCAAAGAGCCCAATTACAGAACCACCGACAACAAAAACATTGCCAGCTTCACCTTGCTAATTCCCTGCCAATTATGGAATCTAATCACGGCTTATGGGATTAATGTACGAGTGGCAGAAATCGCGCTAGATTAGAAAAATTCCATTGTACTGGTTCCGAGTACAAAGACAATCTACAGACATTCCCACCTGCCGGTATCATGAATAATTGCTACTAAATGCCCAGTTTACAAAATCCTCTTCTATCTCTAATAACTAACTAAGTAGAGTCTTTAATCCTTTTGGGAAAATTTTCTAAAAATTTGATGTAACAGTTAAAATTTCTAGAATATAAATAAGTGTAGTACTTACCTTATTGCTGAGAGCTCCTGCAGTTAATAACGTCATTAGGGAAATATGTCTAATATACCAAGCTTCGTTCCTATATGACTTGTTACTTAAATCTTCAAAACATGAAATATAAATAAACAAATTTTTAAAATTATTTTTATTTATATTTAAACATTTAAATGTGAATTTTTTAAAATTATTTTTAAGGGAAATTCTTATTTTTTCCTCACTTTTGTTACTTAATTTTTTTGATTTTTTTAATAATTAAAAGACTATTGTTGAAGATGGTGGTTAGTTTTTTTTCTTTTATTTAGTTTATTTTTCTTTATTTCTCGGAGAAAAAAAAAAATTTTTTTCCTAAATCGAAGAAAGAAATAATCTACCGTTTCTATAAAAGAAGAAAATAAATAACAAACATATATATTTATTTATGTTTCCTTTGCTGTTGGTTAGAAAGAAAAGATTTCCTCTTTATCTCCAGGAAACTTTTCTATCGTACTTCATAAAGTTAAAATTCTACAAATAAATAAATAAATAAATAAATAATATCTAAAAATATAAATCGATACGTATGACAATCGTCGATAAATACGATATTTAGCCTATAACTCGACTTTCTAGCAATATTTTTATGTAAAATGTAACAGATTTGCTTTATTACTCCTCCTTGTACAATATTGTATTTTATATTTTATTTTTCAATTCCCAATTGTTGTATAGATAATGCTCGAGTTGTATTCGATACTTTTGCAATTCAATAAGTTAAAATATATTTATATCTACAAAATGTTCTTTTGGGTTTATATTGTCAAATAACAATTTTACACTTGAGAATGAGATGCGATCGTTTATAATCTAGAAGAGCATTAGCGTAAAAATGTCAACGGTTTGCATTTTTCCCAAGAAAGTCGTGGGGAGTAAGACAATGTTGATGATTTCTCGACGGAACGAAAAAGTTGATAAAAGAGGATACCCAGAGGATACTGTGAAAAATTCCCAAGTATACTCTCTCTCGTATAGATGCTGGAATTTATAGAAAATTTCGGAATATTGAAAAAAACGAAAAACGAAAAAGTAAATAATGAAAAATTTACTGTTGTTTATCCATTTTACATTTTGTAATTTCCAACTTTTTCATATGAAAAGAAATACATTCCCTTAGATAACAGCTTTTTTTTCCTTACTATTTCCATCAGTTATTTATTTTTATCATAAAATATTTATAAGTTTGTATTGACTATTTTAACTTCTTTTTTTTCTGTTCTATATTTTAACTCGTTAAACTAAAAGAATTGATTTTTAAAGTTTCTATTGATAATAAATAATAAATACTTTTGAAAAATATTGTATAATAACATTAAAAATGAAAAAAAAATGATTATTAACCAAGTAATAACTTAATATAAATGTTATGCACTTTTTTATTCTCAAAAAATTAATTTATTTTATTAAATTTTTTTTAAACAGCTACCGGGCATAATTAAAAAACAAAAAAAGTAGATCAAGAATGAAAGTTCTATTCAGTAATCATATATAGTTATAAAATTTATTTTGCTACTCTTAAACGAAATGGAAAGATCTAAAGAGGAACATCAGAATTAATAAAATCTTTCTGACATGGTGAGACTTTATAAGATCATGCCCGCTCGTCCTCAATAACTTTTCAAGCTTTGGACTGATTTCAACAAACTTTGTCAGAGATGTAGAAATATATACGAATTCTATAAAGTTCTACAGCTTTATTAATATATTTTTCTGTTTATTTTTAATTTATTATTTTTTTTTATTAAACTGTAATTATATTATTTAGAAATAATAGGAAAAAAAATATTTATTTTTTAATATGTTTGTATAAGATTTTTCAATAGATAATGGAAGATTTTCTTCCCAGAAAACGAACTTATAGACGAAGTAAAATATTATATAATATAATAATTGTTATAAAAAGTATATATATATATANGGTTAACTGATCCCCCTGACTAAGGATTCTGAGATTGTGTGACTATCTTCCACAAAAATGATTGATTGTAGCGGCAAATCGAAATTCTCTCACCTCAACTCGGACTATGTCAATGATAGAAACAGTAGCGCTAGTCGAATGAATTGTATAGAAGACACGTCGAGAATAAGAATCTTTCTTTCGTATGTGGCAGAAACGATCGAAGAAAGTCTCGCTGACTTTTATACCCGAGTATAAAACCGTAATAAACCTTTCGTTAGCTGTATTTCGTGACCAGAAGGTCGATTACCTTTCTCTTATCGTTTTGTACAGTCGCGCTCCCCTGCTCTTCATCCTCCTCTTCCTATCTCTTACTATTGTGTTTAGTACGGTATTTAATCAATAATAATGTATAGCATCATTCGAATATGTCTCTTAACCATTAAAATAATGAGTAAAGGTATAATTGTCATATTAATATTCCCGCTAGCGTGTCGAAAATAATGAGATTGAGTTAGACCGGAAAATGCAAAAATTATATTCTGGATCCGTTTCTAAAGTTGAAAACTCTCTATTTTTCAACTTAAACCCCATCATTACAATAGTTTTAATTATACAAAAGCTAATTTTGGATATACTAATGTTTTTTAAACTTAATGGAAGCGTAGCGTATATATACGAGAAACAGTCTTTCTATTCGCTTAATTTAACTAGAAAATACAATAAAATAATAAAGTTATCCTTGGAATTATTCTTTTTTAAAATAATATTATTATTATATTTTAAATTTTTGAATTAAGTAGGAATCGAGTCGATTTTTATCTTAAAAAAACACCTCACTCCGATATCGATTTTTGAAAGGATTCATTGTAATTTATTCTAATTTACTTTAGTTATAAAACACTGTATATATATGAAAGAATTTAATTGATAAGTAAAGAATAAAAGTTTAAAAAGAATCTTTAAATATCGGATAAAAATTTTCAATTTCTCTAAATATAAAATATGCAAATGATATTAATAAAGGAGTAAATTAGCATTTTGATGAAACGGTAAATATGAGCATGGGAAAAATTTCCATAGTTACGATATTTTGATATAACAAGTAACGTAGGTTTGAGAAAAATCCTATTTTCATTTTGTTTTACGTTCTTTCCCCCCTCTTTTAGAAAGTCTAATAGAATACACAAAGATGATTGAAAACACCAAAGCTATTACAGGAATTTAATAAACTTCAAGTTCCGTTTTTCATCTTCTTTCAACTTCGTTTCATCGCGCAAAAGTTTTATGTACATTCTGAGGATAAGATTTTTCTTATAAAGTCTATTTTGAACAGGAAATTAGAAGTAGTAGAGTAAGAAAAACAATGGAGAATAACGACTGGTGTTGAGAACGAAGGAATTAAAAAGAAATCATAAGAAAAACAAATCACTTGGTAAAGATTAAAATGCTCCTATCAATGGGTGACAGTCAAAAGTCAAATATCGTCGAGTATGAGAAATTGTCTACGCTAAACAATCTCTAGCAATGCATTTTTCTACCTTTTTATGGAGTTTCCTTTTAAAATTGGAAAAGTAAAATAAAAATAAAAAAAAATAACTAAAGTCTTTTTCGCTTTTCGTTATTTTAAAGTCCATTATACTTTAAAAATTTTAATATCACGCTCGCTTTGTTTTATTTACAAAGGCTACATTGTTTACTTTTTCTCTTTTTTTACACACATAAAATTTCAAATTTAAAACTTGATTTAAAATATTTAATGTCACTTCTTGTAGGATAAATATACTTTAGTAAGATTTATTAATTTTGTGTAGATTTGCAACAAGGGAGGGAAAAATGTCCTCCTAAGAGCATTATTCTTATTATATGATTTATTCGAAATTGTATTTATCTGTCGACAATTTCAATTATTTATAAAGCAAAGGACAGTTTTTCAAGTGAAATGGCCAGAGAATAGAATTCATTAGTATTCTGTTGGGCTAAGCCGCTCATAATCACCATATATCTGCAGAAAGAGTGCTTCAGATCAGGAGTTACCACTGTTACTTTATTAAATTCGGTTGTATGAGTGTTGCATTACAGAATAGCACCTGTTATATATATATATATAGCACCTGTTATATATATATATATATATAACAGGTGCTATTCTGTGTATATATATATATATATATATTTGTAAGGAAAAATCTTGTCTTTTCATTCGTTTCGAATTCAATTTTTAGTGTCTTTTTTTTTCAATTTTTACTTTCAATTTTCATGTAGTAGTTGTTAGCAGTGGGTTCCTTAAATGGAATTTTTACCTCAACCTCCATTAATGCTATCGACGACTGAGAGCGTGGAGCATTTGCTGACTCACGAGTTGATGCTTTCCATTCATTTGCTAGTGCTTGTGATGTTGAAGATCGATTGGTTTTGGTTCAGTCGGAGTAGAATACGATTCTTACGAGCGGTTGAAAGCTTCTCACCAATGCTATACTTCAGTCTTTTATATATATATATGGGATTTTTTTAACTCAGACTTTCAAAAATGGGGATCTATAGTTGATTAAACACGTGTGATTCTTTCGTATTTTTTACCACTTTAAATTCTTTTCGAAGTGAAATGTCGATAGCTTTCTCTTTTCTACGCGTGCTTTTACATTATTTTCTCATTTTCGTGTTAAAAATATCCTTTAAATTGAGAATTTTTTTTACAATTACCAAAATAAAGTATCGTGTTTCCGACTGGAAAACATAAAAGAAAAAAAAAATCCAACTTTTCTGAATTTCTCTAATCACGTTGAAAATCTTATAAATATGAAGTTTATAAAAGTGGATTAATTCAATTTTTTATGCATTTACGAATGATATAAGTAATTTAAAATGCTAGGTTTTTTTAAATCTTTCTTATCACTTATGGAAAATTAAATTAAATTAACATCATTACTACTTTACTCCTAGTCGAAAAATCATTTACACCAGTTAAAATTTATCTTTAAAATATATATATATATATGAAAGAATTTAATTGATAAGTAAAGAATAAAAGTTTAAAAAGAATCTTTAAATATCGGATAAAAATTTTCAATTTCTCTAAATATAAAATATGCAAATGATATTAATAAAGGAGTAAATTAGCATTTTGATGAAACGGTAAATATGAGCATGGGAAAAATTTCCATAGTTACG